CACTACGTCGTGACTTGGCAGGCAGGGCGGCAGTCGTGGGAGTTCGCCCGAGCCTGGCCACTGCATTGGCTGCACTTGGAAATTGCTCCTCGTGCCATGCTGCAACACCATTCATCTCAACCATGCCCGACTGCGCACACCGTCACGGCGGGCTTGCTGGCTTGCTGTGCGCGGCCATGCCCTGCCCAGTTGCGCTCCAGCGGGCTGGCACCGACCCGTGCCCGCAGCACCACGATCATCGGGCAGGAGGCAGCACAGCAGTGACCATCGCTCATCCACGATGAGACGAGACCCAGCAAGGTCATGTCTGTGTCTCGGCTGCTGCGACTGCGCCAGCTGATTCCCCTCCGTGCCACCGTACCACCACGTATTGCGCACACTCGCCCGCAGCATGCAGCCGCAACGATCCGATTACGAGCACATCCGCAACACGACCGCCGCCCTCGAGCCCCGAGTATGCTAGCTACTGCGGACCCTCGACCGTGCGGGAAAAGCAATCGGAACAGGCATGGTGCTCCATCACGGTACTCGCGGATTGCGGCACAGAGCCTCAGACAAAGCGTCTGACCTGCATCAGCCGTCTGCATTGCTCTGGCTTGATGTTACTTGGCATCGCCTCCTCCAGTCGGGCACTTTAGAGCTACCTGTAGCTGTAGCTTGAGCTACGAGCTAGCTGCGGACTGCGGACATATTTCTCAGCACCTGACTGAGTGCACCTCGCAATTTGTGTACATGACGACACAGGCAACAAAATTGGACTAACGGATAGTGAGTCGAGATGATTACGTTTTCGAGCCATCACGGTGCAAATCGCAGAAAGCGAGCGAAGAATGGTGAGTAGCCTCCCCGCTAGCGTGATGCACATTACGACAGGATGCTATAACTGGTAGCTCGGTCGCCGCGCAGCTCTTCCAAGATAAGATTAACTCGTACAAGCATCATAAAGCTCGAACTTCGAGGATGGACTGCTCAACCATCGGCCATCGCTTGCTTCAGAGCACATCGCCAAAGCGGACAGCATAGGCAGTGAAGCCGATACATTTCCCCCACACACGACAAAGCATCTGACATGCTAGGCCATGCCGCACAAAATGGCAAAACAACTGCCGACCCCTCAACAACCAACCTCGTGCCCCATCATCGTTCGAAAACACCGAGGCAAAAGCCCCCAGTCCGGGACTCACGAATATCAAACCCCAACTTAACTAGTGACGAAGTTTCCTTGTGATCCTCGAGCTCTGCTTCTCCTATCCTCACCAACTTCAACAGTCGAACATGGTGCTCAGCCACCTGCAGTTGCAATAAAGTTTCTAGCAGGGCCTCAGGCCGGACTTTTGCCTGCAGTACAGTACGGACGTAGATCGACCACGTCAGACGATCACAACGACACCCAGTTGCCGATCCAGATATCGTTCAGAGACCTGGCGCATTCCGCTGCCCATCAGACCTCGGTGCCCGAGCCGTGCCTTATTTCGTTTGCAGCCGTTTTGTGTTCGTCACAATCCTTGCCTCGGAAAGCTCACTACAGCGCGTGGACCCCTCGGCCTTATCGCGACTGTGGTGCATCTACTACAGCTTGCCGCTATGGCCAAAAGTGGCGCATTGGCGGTGAGATTGAGCACGTCATCGCATTCAATGCCTTTCATACTTTCGCATGAAAGTAATCAGGTCCAAATGCACCAGTAGAAAGCTTTTGGTAGGAACTACAGCGACCCATGAGACAACATCGGATAGAGTTCGTGAGTGATGCATATCGCTTAGCAGAGGTTCGCCGATAGTCGGCAGCAGGAGCCGAGCATGTCCTGTCGAGGTGTGGGATCCCCAAACGTCGCGTGCAGCGAGGCTGTGAGCATGGCAGCATTCCGCACTTCCCAGAGACGAACATAAGTACTGAGACCAGAAGCAAGATACCTCTAGGTGGGGCCACATGGGTAGCGAGCGGCCTGCACAATGGTCCACCACACCATCCCCAAGGTGGATCGAGCGTTGCTCGACGGCTATAATATTCCGCGTCTTAGGCCGCAGCGATTCGTGGTGCTGATAGCACTCAATTTCGCGAATTCACAAATACATGGAGAGCGAAGTTTCTTGGCAACAGCCAGAGTCAGAATCACATACGCTTTAGTCAAGTCGCTTGTAGCCTGTCGTGCTTGGGCATTAGGCTCGGTCGGTAGGTTTACCAGTACAGGAAACCACACTAGGGTCAGGGCCGTACACATATACAATTCTCGGGGAAAGCTTTGCCTGCAAACAAAATGGGGCATTGCCATCGCCAACGCTACCTAGGATGGGCGGTCTATCAAGCGTGATTTTCTTTACATCTTGTGCGTGATGCAGGCATACTTGAAAGCAACACTTCGGATGTAACTCCTACGGTGAAATTATGCTTGAGATACATATTCCACACAGTGAGGAGTTGTACTGAGTGCGAGACAACAAGTCTGAATGGGATAGATGACGGATCCACCCACGAACTGTGTCCGTAGGCAGAGCATTGCAGAATTGTTGCAACAAAAGCACGTGAAGTGAGCAGTGTCAACCTGAGGCGGAAGGCGGAGTCGGAGAGCGGAAAGGGCCGGCCGACGGTTCGGCGATCGGCTTCGCGTCACACCTTCCAGCCGGAGCCTCATCGCCAACTTGAGTAAGCTCGACCACCTCAATCACCACCTCATCACACGCCATCTCTGCTGCCTTCGAACGCATCAACATCAACCACCTCCTTCATATTCCAGAGAATACCGATCAAATTCAGTTGCACCCATCAAACCACCACACTAAATCCCGCAACCATGGCGGAGAACGACGTCAAACAGATCCTCTCCACCCTCACATCCATCAAATCCGCCTCCGACCTCCAAAAAGCGCCCCAACTCCTCTCCCGCGCAAAACTCAGCCTCCTCAAACTCAACGCCCTCGTCCCCTCCTCAGAAATGAACCCCAAACACCTCCCTCTCAGCCTCGCAGTCCTCGAAGCCGGCGCCTTGATCTCCATCCGTCTACGCGACACGGACTCTTTCACGCGCTATTTCCAGCAATTGCAACCATTCTACGCAATCCCGGAGTCGATTAAAGAGAGACATGGTGTCAAGGGTGGTCAAGAGGGGAAGGTCACGGGGTTGTATTTGTTGTTGTTGTTGAGTGTGGGGGATTATGCGGGTTTTCATACGGTGCTTGAGGGACTGGGGGTTAGTGGGAGTGGGATTGAGAGGAATGAGTTTGTGCAGTATCCGGTGCGGTTGGAGCAGGCGCTTATGGAGGGGAGTTATGATAAGGTGTGGGGTGAGACGAAGGGGGAGAGGGTGCCGAGTGAGGAGTTTGCGGTGTTTAGTGAGGTGAGTTTTGATGAGGTGTTGGAGGTTAAGTGGTTTTGGTATGCTAATGATGACTTGTAGGTTCTGATCGATACGATTCGATCCGAGATAGCCTCTTGCTCCGAGCGCGCTTACCCTTCGCTACCGATCTCGAATGCAAAGAACCTGTTGTTCTTGAATTCGGAGGGTGCTGTCATTCAGTTCGCACAGTCAAGAGGATGGGTTGCAAAGGATGGACGAATCTACTTTCCTGCGCAAGAGGCAGACGCACTGGCCGCAGAGAAGGATGTCATGAGCAATAGCGATCTGGTGATCGAGAACACACTGGGCTACGCCAGGAAGCTTGAAACCATTGTGTAGAAAGTGGAGAAGACGTGTATGATGGCGTATGGAAGAGCGCATTTGGTCAGCGCTTAACTATCGCGCGAAGCTTCGATGTCACGAAGACTTTGGCAGGAGCAACGAATACCACGAAACGCTGTAACATTACAACCCTAGCCCGCCCCTTTGTTCCATTCCTGTGGGTTGCATTTTCTCGGCCACTAGCTGGTTCTCCAGCATGCGCAGTCATAAGTCGAAGCACTGAAAGTGGTCATCCAAAAGGTGGCCCTTTCCCTGCGCCAGGAACGAGTTTTGTTAAGGTCGGTTGCAGTGCTCAGCTACACGTCCCACAGCACTGGCAGCACGCCACCGCAGAGGAACGGCTCTTCGGACAGCTTCCGCCAAATGTGGACTGATCTGCTCAGGAAGTTTACTGCTGCCAAGTCATGCTGTGGTAGTCGGCGGCACGGTCGTCGTGCACTGGAAGAACATTGAGCTTTGTAAGTTCTTCCTTCCACAAGTATGGCTTGGCCGCAGCAGCGATTGTCTCTGCAGTGACATGCTCCTCCCGTGGCCGCTTCCAGGTGAAGACATCGTGTAGATAAACGCGGCTTGGCACGTAACCGTAAACGCCACGGTCACAGTGGAACAGTTCGTACAGCCAAGCGATGTCCAGCATTTTGATACCTTCCTTATTCCTCAAGGTGCGACCATAGCCTTTGGGTTGATAGCAGTCAATGCCCAGTCCCATAGGCTCCACACTGTCGAGAGTGAAGCGATGCTCTACGGCAACACTGCTGTCGCGCGCATAAAGAAAGAGTACTGGAGGTTGACAAACGAGCATTTTTCGCCACGAAGCGTCGGGATGGTTCAGGCTGGCCTTGAAGCGTTCTGTGAGTGGAGGCATGATGTCGCCCACTTTCTGTTCCATACCCAAGATCGGGAACAGGCGGGCCATGAGGGGATTCATGGTCAGGCAGTAGGCTTCGGTAGTCTCATCGTCGACGGCGTAGCGGAATAAAACCTCATCCAGACGAGTTGCATCAATCACCTGCCAGGTGTCCGTCTTGTACAGAAGGCGCTCTGTTCCGTCAGTACCCACTATTCACGAGGAGCAACGAGAACTCACTAGTTCCATGATCAGTCACGACCGGACCTGTCGGGGCCAGAAAGAGCGCACGCTTCAACTTGACGGAGCCCTGGATGGTGCTGTGCCACGTACGGTCGACGCGCTGTGACAGCAGGAGGTCGCGGCACGGAATGCTCAGCAAGATCATCTCGAGCAGCTCCGGGGTCTGCAGGACTTGCGCGGCCGCCATGGCGATAGCCTTGACCGTCAGGGTTGTGTGTGATGGTGTCGAATTGGAAGTGTGGCGGCTGCGAGATCAGGCATCAGGCAGAGGAGACAAAACGAATTGAGAAGGTACGACGACAAGTCTCGGCTCCAACGTTAGAGACTTGACTTCACTTGCTAAACAACATCCTCTCAGTCTCACCGACGGAACAAAAAGCAGCACTGATCGCTCTCAAGATGTTACACGAACCGACCTGGCTAAACATTCGCCATAATCCCCCTCAATGCCCTCGCAGACTCCTCCCCATCATCCAAATCCCCAACAAACCCAACCTTCCCATCCCAAAACCGCCCCACAGCAACCGCTGCCTGACTCAAATCTGCCCCTTCAACCCAAGAACAAGGCCTATACATCGCCTCCTCATCCCTCACATTCTTCAAACAGCGCGCTCGTTGATGATACCGATACGCAACAACCTCCCACCAAATTCCATTCATCTCCTCATTCACATCAAATTCCCCTTCAATCACATCTACAGCTTTCCAAGGAATCGAGAACCCCGAAAAGAGTGTGTTGATTTGTTCAGGAGAAGCCAAAGAAGCGAGTTGTCCAGCAAACATGATTTCACCGCCCATGCTGACCCATAAGGCTGCTTTTTTGAGCAAGAAAGGGTATCTTGGGAGGGCGAGAGAATGATCTGTGCAGAGGACGAGAGGGTGGTCGGATATTGTGAGCAGCTTGAGGGCTTCGGATTCTGTGGTTATGATGAGGAGGTCGTTGGGTTGGAGGGATGAGAGGAGGTTTTTGCAGTTTGTTGAGAAGGATTGGGGGGAGGTCTCGAGTTGGAGGATGGGGAGTTTGTTGGAGAAGGGGTCGTTCATTCTTCCAGCATGCGGTGATGATGCGGCATGTCTGTAACGAACGATAGTTGGTTGTTATGCATTGGAGCAATGGGCAGAAGGATGAGTCATGTTAAGATGTGGCGAGTATATCTTAGCTCGATCCTTTTGCCTCCATTGCACTTATTGTAGAAATTATTGTATACATCCACGGCCAATCACATCCGATCATAACATCGTGCTGCAAGCTTTCTTCCTTCATCCGTAAGATTGCTTTGCTCTCTACCCAATTCCAAAAGTCTCTTCTTCCAAACCACCCAATGCTCCACCAAACTCGCACCAACAGATTCCTGCTTTTCTCTCGTCTTTCCAGCTACCCTTCTCGAATACCACCTTATCTCACTCGACTTCCCAACTTCCCCCTTCAATTCAGCCCCAGCAACATCAAGCCAAACCTCAACCTCACTCAACAATACATCCATTCCATTTCTATTCTGTGCCACTAAATTCACAACATCAAATCCCCAGCTCAAAGGCAAATCTCCAACACCTCGCAGACATAGTTGTGCTTCTACTTTTCCTATACGGCGAAAATGCTGCCTTAATTCTTCTCTTCTCGAATCGGTGAGATTCTCCTTTTCCCATACACATGGACCATCCAAATGCATCTGATATAGATCATGCCACATGTTTGCGAAGCTTGGTAGGCCTTTCCACTCGAAACGTTCTGTGAAGGGGAGATGTTGAATTGCTAAGAGCAGCTCGATGGTTTTTTGATATCCTTCGTCGCTGAGTTCGACTAGAGCATCGCAGAGGAGAGCCCATAAGCGGTAGAGGTTTTTTTTAGGATTTGGTTCGCTTGATACTGGTTCTGTGATCTTTCTTGCGGCTTCTTGCGCACTGCAGTTGTCGTTGAGATAGTTGCGTAAGGCATTTGCTTCGTCTGGGTGACAGCCGTCGCCTGCGAGTAAGGCGGCTTTTGTGGGCGCTACTTTTGAGGCGTACCAGGTTTCTTGCATTTTCCGATAATCTTGCTTTTTGTTGTCCGAAATGTTGTCATTGCTCGATGACTTTAGTGACAGCTGCGGTCGTGTCGAGAAAGTCAAGCGTTCGTACCTTCACTTTGCAAGGCGCCAAGACAGACCGGACCCTCTCTGCACTGCCTCCTCAGCAGGATTCAGCTTTGACTCACACACGTAAAGTACCAGCAAAACGCTCTGCAGAACTCTCATGTTAGTGAATGTTTTGAGATCACTTCCTTTGGCAATACAGCGAATCCAAAGCCATCTGTATTGCTACTTTACAAGCCACGCCAATCGTATAATCCATCGCTAATGCTTACCACTCCATACACAATTTCCATGCAACCTGGTATCATCAAGAAACGCACTCAGTGCAAATTCAAGTTATCCTCATTCAACGTCCCATACAGTCCTTCCACTTCCTGTCCCACAACCTCAATATCCTTCGCCAGCTGTCCCGTAACCAGCACATAAGCATATAACATCTCATAATCCTGTTCTGTAGTCAACTCCCTCCCTTCTCCGGTCCTTCTATACTCCGAAATCTTCGCAAGTAAGCGGTCTCTCGCGTCGTCAATCTTTGGTAGAACATCATTGAGCGGATATTCGAGTTTGATGGAGCTGGCGAGGACGGTGAAGAGATGGGAAATTCGTGCTGATAATGCGAAGCGTTCGGGACGAGTGTATTTGAGGACGGCGGCTTCTCCGGGTGTGGCTTGGAGGTTCTTCGATATGACGACGTTCATGGCGTGGAAGGCGTCGAGCATTCGTCCGGCGCGATCGAGCATGTTGCCGATTTGTTTGTCGGGGAACGGACCTTGGAATTCGAATTCGGCTGAAGCGGCTTTTCGTAGACTTCGTAGATTGCCGAGGAAGGAGACGAGTTCTGCTTCTTCGCGGATGTCCATGTATGCGCTTGCTGGTTCGCCGAGCAGGAGTAGAGCCAGTGGATCACGTTTCCAGATTAAACCCATTCGCAGCCAGAGGAGACATAGTCCTTCTCGGAGCTTGTGACGCGCGGAGATTGGTGCGATCCAGCGGCAGACGATGATAGCCCAGATTGTACCGACTGTTACGGAGACAGTTCTGTGAAGAACAATCTCCCAGATTGCAGGATCGACGCCACCCTCGTCATCGTCATTGTCGTTGTCGTTGATGCTCAAGCTGTAGGAGTACAGCGCACTCAGGTTGTAAGTCAAAATGATAAATCGTCCCATCGGCCCATTATCCTGTCCCACGATCACGTAAAACCCGTAGAGTGACATCAACCAGCCGCAGAATCCGAGAATATAAGGATTGGCAACTCCATCATGGTTTGCTATGAGCCATGCAAGGGTAGCGCAGACGGCGCCAATGATCGTTCCCCAGATCCGATTGAAACCCGTCGTGTTCGTTGCACCGACTGTCATGGAGCATACGACCATGTACGAGACCAGACCCCACTCACCTCGCCAATGCAGGAAGAAAGGCCTGGTCTCGCGCAGGAAGGCCGGTAGAGCATACAAAGCTGCGCCCAGGCCAACTTTGATTGCAAATCGAACATCATCTCGCCGGATCCAGCGGAATGCCCTGTACACTCCATAGTACCAAGGCTTATCCAACAAGAAGCTGTGTGTCGTGGGTATGAGACGATCTGCCTTGCGGATATCCTCCGGTATCTTGTACCCACTGTCAGGCTCTTCGTTGTGCTCCGGATAAGTGCTTGCTCGTGGACTGACGGTGCCGTCCGGCTTCCTTTCCTTTTGCCAGAATTTAAGCCAGTTCCAGCTCCGTCGTGGCGACTCCATCTCGATTTTAAGCTCATCTAAAACGTTCAGGTAATTGAGCACATCTTCGGCAAAGTCGAGCAACGCAAAAGAGAAGTGCCCGCAGCAGGCAGAAACTTCCTCAATATCTGCCAACACCTCCTCAGGCTGTCGGTCAAAGAGAGTGTTTTGCCTTCTGTCGGTTCTCACACTGACAGGCGAGTGGTTGCCGGGCGTTTGAGGTCGCGTTCCGAACGCACCCTTGCTGTCGTGCTGGGCATTTACTGCTGCACTAATTGCCCGATTCTGGTACAGTGCAGAGAGAGCATGCTTACGCTCCTCTCGATATAGCTCCACCGCGTCCCGCAGACTGTCGTGAAATTGCTCGCTCACGGCCACTTCCAACTCTCGCACGGTCCATGGGTTCCAGCCCGGCGTCCTCACTTCTTTGAATGGTAACTCGTCCAGTACCTGCTTCACAGTGTATACTAGAGACTTAGTCGGAGGGCCTAGCTGGCTTATGAACGCCACAAACATGTCGCCAGGGCTCTTTGCGAGCTGCCCACCAGGCGTGTAAGGCTCGTGCTCACGTGTCGAGTAATCCGTATATGTTGAGTACGGTGTTGCCGTTCCGCTTGGAGTGACAAAGTAGCCATTCTTGAAGTTGGACATGTCACTTGTCGTTCGTTCGTGTCCCCCCACTGGCAAGCCATTTCCATTTGGCAGTGACTGCTCGGCTGATCCGCCCTCGGAAACCTCATTGATCACAGCAAGGTTGCGATAGTTCTGCGCCGGGGCATCGATCGGTGGGCTCGTCATGGTCGGACTCGCAATCCAAGACTCGTTGTCCACCGGGCTTAGCGACCTTCCATAGATCACATTCTGCTCTTGTTCGTGGAGAAATGCAAATTGTGCCAATGCTGCACTTCTCAAGCCTCCCAGATCCTGCGACAGCCCAGCAAGACACGAGACGACTTTAGCTTGCGCCCTGTACAGCCTCTCATCACCCAGAACATAGTGCTCCTTCTTCGCCTCGTTCAAATTCTTCTTCATAACATTCAAGCTCGACGCATGTTCTTTCGCCAAAGTCTTGAAGTAGTCATCCTCCAAATCCTGCTCGCGGCCATGTAGGAACGCACGCGTGATGGATATGAGCATCTCGCCGAGCAGATCAGTGTTCTTCTCCATCTGCTCCGAAAGCTTCTTCCTCGCCAATGTCGGAAAGATCACGAAATTGACCACGCTTGCGATGATGATTCCCAAGATGACCATGCCCAGGACCTGTGTGATCCTTTCGTAAGAGAAAGATCCTGCCTGGATCGAGCCCTCCCTCAGCAAGATGGTAATGCTTCCAAGCGAAGCCAGAGATATCGCAACATTGACGAGTGGGTTTCCCAATCGCTGCTTGACATATGCCATCAAGCCGAACCCTCCGGCAACAAATACAACCAAGACGATCGCATGGCCGACTACAATCAAATCCTGGTGAGCGAAGAATATGCTCACGCCCATGCTTGAGAAGCTGAGGAATGCGGCATATAGGAAGCCCATCAAAGCTAGAACTGTAGCTTCATGCATGCTGCCCACTGTTCTCGCAGCGTGGAAGTAGACCGTCACGGTGGCGACCAAGTGCTTCGAGTCCTGTTTATCACCAAAGAACTTGGCGATACTGGGGATCAAGGTGGCCATAGAGCCCAATAGATAGCCGATGGAGCATTTGAAGATTCCTTGGCCAGTCGGACTGACTGCGAAATTCCGGAATCGTTGCGCGCGGTCCTGGATGACATCTTGGATCTGCTGCCATCGCGTCGGCTCCTCGTACTCGCCTTCATCGTACGGCAATCGGATGCTATCGCCGTTCAGAAAGGATCGTGATTGTTCGGGGCTGTTGCCCTGGGACATGCGAGCGGAAGCATCGCGAAGCGTAAACTGGCGCTTAGAGCGCTCGCCCGTTTTGGGAAGGATGAATGAGGCTCGGCGGAGCTGGATAGGCAAGTCAGTAGTCGTTTCCGCGCCGCCCTCATCGCCGTAGCGGCCCATCGTCGCGGTAAGAATATCAGGTCATTTTGCTCCACTTCTTTGTAACAGAAATGAGAATCTTGCGCTGGGCGTGGCTGTGGAGCCAACAGCAGGCCCATGGGGTTGTGTCGACCAGGGTCTGTGGTTGCTCACCTTGCGGCCGAAACGGGATTGCCGTCGCGTCTCTCTAGTCGAGTCTTGTTGATGAGGCATCGCATCGCTGCCTGCGATAAGAGCTTATGGCATCGAGGTCTGGTTGCTATCGTCTGCCGGACTGCAGCAGCAGAACGTCGTATGGTAGGACATGACGCGAACAGCGGTAAGCAGGCTGGCTGTCGCATGAGCGTCGGCAGATTCAAGATCCAAAGGATTCGCCCAGCCAAGGAGGAGGGAGGCTTGGCGCGTCGATCCATCAACACAGCACAGTTCAACAGTAGCTGGGATTGTGATGGTGACAAGCAGGACAAGCGTCTGGTAGCATATATAGGCTTTATCTAGCACTACGTTGTGGAGTGAGTTGGAAGCTACGCGAAATGTGGTTGATTTTGAACCTCTGAAGCCAAATCATGAAGCTCTATCTGCATCTTGACGCCTAGTCTATGCTACCCAACGAGCCCGTCCACTGTGCCTGGGATATTCACGTCGACTCTCGACTATTTGTCGCATTTCTAAGGCGACACGCGAATCGGCATCGCCCTGAGCAACGTGGCAGCCGGCACTTCCCCCTGAGCACGAGACGAGCTCTGGCAAGTGGTGCAGTGCAGTTTTGCTATGCTTGACTAAAGCCGCCCGCTGAAGTTGTCACCTTACTCTTACATGAAGCACTCAACGCCCCGCTATGCTTTGACCTCTCGTGCATATTTCTGCGCGCTCGTAAAACTTTTGTGTCCCAAATCCCTAGGCCTCTCAAACCACAGTTCTGTATGAAGCATACCGCCCGGCGGTTTCTGACTTCCTGATGATCTTGACCACCTGGCCGCGCCGTAGAGCGAGATATTTTGCCATGGGATCCTCAGACCTGATTCGCGGGAGCTGTGTATCTTTCAAACGATATCGCACCAGCAGACCCTGCTTCTCTTCCGGTGATAGCAGAAGATGCTTCGGCACCAACTCATGTTTCGAAATGTTGACAAGCAGATCCTCCTCCTTGAAAATCTCCAAGATGGTCGGCAGGACGCTAGGAATGATCTTATTCGCAGCAGATGTGGGAGCGACAGCGGTAACGTAGACTCCCGTGTAGTAGTTTTTCTCTGATAGGGTTTGAACGAATCCCTTAAGCTGCTTGATGCCGACCGAGGGCTCGTTGAAGAACTCGACGTGAATCGTTCCGATTTCGGGTTCTCGTTCGGGCTGGCCGGGTCGTGGGAGCGGCGTGTAGCGTTTGATCATGGCGTCTGAGGGTCGGGCAGTGAAGGCCATTTTGGCGCGACTGGGCGAGCCATCTTGTTCGGTGTACTCGTTTCGGAATTCGTCGAGGGAGATGTTGCACTCTTCGTCGGTCAACTCGTAGCCCTGCGCGTGTCAGTCTGGCCCTGGCGCGTGTGCAGCGGCGCTGGTCATACTCGGTCCTGGCACATTTGCTTCGTAGTTCGGAGGACGCGCCATAGGCGAGAGCTGTCGCGCAGTCAGCGTGGATGATCAAAGGACGCATGTTGATACATACACCTCGCGTGAGTGATCTTGGTCCGCCATTGTGAGCAGTGGCTGTGCGGCGCGGTGGATGATGGTGTCGCAAGGCTCGAGATGTTCTCGAAGAAAGAAGCGGCGCCGCGTCGGGCCTTCGGCAGGTGAGCCGAGCATGATCTGCATGATCCCTGCGTGCAGCATGGCGCGCTTGCTGGAGCTGGCGCGCGGAGGCTTGTGATCTCACAGGCGGCAGCTGCAACTGCAATGACGACCACTCTTGCATACCTTCCGAATATCTGCAGCAACACATTGCATACGGCAGGCACCACCGTTTGCCGAAAGAGCTTTCCGAGCACCAACAGTCGCGTGCCGTGGGGAAGGCATGACGGTGGACAGCTCGGCTCGCAGGACAGTACGCACAGCTTTGTTGGGCGTGAAACGGTTCCCAAGCTCTGAGAGCAGGTTGACTATGTTGCATGAGTAACGCGCAGTATGGATCATGCCCACTTGCGCCTCTTGTCCGATAAGTTCTGTAAGTCGTCGTCCACCGCTCCCGTCTTCCGCAGGCCGTGCATCCTTCTAACGTCCTTCTGCTAGATGACAAGCGTAAAGCAGGCGCTCTAGAGTAAGTCGCCTGTCCGCTGTGCTCCACCCCCGCTACCACCTCCTCCTCCATCTCGCCGCTGTTCCTCGCCCGAGAGATCATGGCCGTCGCCTTTCTCAAGTCGACGACAGTTGCTTCGCCGCCACCCAAGAGCCCTGGCTGCCCCTACACCGATGACTACGAGGTGGAGATACGGGCGACCTCAGACAAACAGGCGTTGACACAGCATGCTCGCAGGCTCGAGACGGTGATACGCAATGCTCTCGCAGAACAGAACCACGACAGGATAGGCAAGATTGTATGGCAGCTATGTCATGACTACGCGTATGCGGTCCATCAACCCCACGCTCGCAATGGCGGCCTCATTGGGTTGGCTGCCGCAGCCATAGCGTTAGGGCCGGTGAGTTGTGGCAACGGAACGCTGCTCCAGGCTGCCGCTGACATTGCACAGGAAGTAGCACGTTACCTGAAACAGATAGTGCCTCCAGTGTTGGTACGTGATCCTATCCTTGCACCGCGCTATGGTGGTCCATCACGATGCATTGAAGCCAGTTGCATGAGGAAAATTAACAACGCATATCTAGGCATGCTTCTCCGACCAAGATGCTCGGGTCAGATATTATGCTTGCGAGAGCATGTACAACATCGCCAAGGTGGCCAAAGGTGAAATATTGATATACTTCAACGATGTCTTCGATGCCCTCAGCAAACTGGCCGCCGACACCGAGCTTTCTGTCAAAAATGGAGCCGAGCTTCTCGATCGACTGATCAAAGACATTGTATCCGAGTCTGCCGCCACATACACTTCAGTGCTTGTATCAGAAAGCAAAGAATCTACCGAAAACACTCCAGACCAGAGTGTTGAGATACCACAGGCATTCAGCTTACCAAAATTCATACCACTTCTTCAAGAGCGAATCAATGTGCAGAATCCTTGGGCAAGAACATTTCTTGTACAGTGGATATTGCTGTTGGACTCAATACCAGATCTTGAATTGGTCTCATATCTACCCAGCTTCCTGGAAGGGCTACTGACGTTTCTGAGCGATGGATCCCTCGATGTGCACAACGCGACCAGGGAGGTCCTCAGGAGATTCTTGAAGGAGATCAAGAAAATTGCCGAGGTGAAACAAGAGGTGGCTGAGAGCAAAAAGAGTAGAGAAGAGCACGGGCGAAAAGCAAGCGACTCAAGTTTCGTTGCTGATGATCATGCCAGCGACGCAGCGGAGGCGGAAGTGGAACCCGACCTGGATCAAAGTCGTGAGAGCAGAGAGAATGGCGAGATGCAAGCGATCGAAGCCGATACGAGCCCCGCCACTGGCGACCACCAGACACCGGATGATGCCTCTTCGTTTACCGCTGCAGACAATGACAACATCGAAGGCATGAATGCTGAAGACGAATGGATACCAGGCCAAGACGTCCAGATCGACTACCCAAAGATCACGGCAATCCTGGTGGACTTCCTGGCGAGGTCGCGCGAGGAGGAAGTCCAACTCACATGCCTGAACTGGATTGGCGCGTTCCTCGAGATCTGCCCTGAAGACATTCTCCCATTCACACCGAGCTTATTACAGCAGCTACTGCCATCTCTTTCACACGACAAGGATCATGTGAACACGGAAGCGAAAAAGGTCAACAGTGAACTCATGAGATACATCATGTCTCTGCCGGACGACCCAACGCGAACACATGGTGGAGTTGTGGAGCAACCCACGCAGGCGGCAGTCGTAGTCGCAAATAACGCCTCAGGTTTGCGAGCACTTCGAGATGCAGGGGATGGAAAGCGAGAGTCACTGGGTAGCCGGACAGCTCGCAGGACGCCAGATGTCCCAGAATCACGAACACCTGAAGTCTCTACTCCCGAACCACCTGCAGACGAGTCCGAGAATATCAGCAATGCTCATCCAGATCTTGACTATGAGGCAGCAGTGAGCGCGCTGACTCTACAGTTCCTGCACGAGCACGAGGCCACCAGGGTCGCTGCATTAGCTTGGCTGATCATGCTTCATCGAAAGTCACCTCGGAAAATTTTGGCAATCCAGGATGCGACGTTTCCGGCACTGCTCAAGACGCTTAGTGATCCTGCAGAAGCTGTCGTCACCCGGGATCTGCTATTGCTGTCGGAGATTAGCAAGAGCAGCGATCAGAGTTACTTCACCTCATTCATGGTCAATCTACTGAAGCTTTTCGAGACAGACCGACGTCTTCTAGAATCGAGGGGCAACCTCATCATTCGACAATTGTGCCTCTCTCTGTCTGCAGAGCGCATCTTCCGAACCATGGCAGATTGCCTGGAGAAGGACGAGGATGATGTCGAATTTGCTTCTATCATGGTGCAAAATCTCAATAATAACCTCATCACTGCGCCAGAGCTGGCAGAGTTGCGCAGACGCCTGCGAAACCTTGACAGTAAAGAAGGTCAAAGCTTCTTCACGGTGTTGTTCAAGGCGTGGTGTCACAATGCAGTCGCCACTTTTTCACTTTGCTTACTGGCTCAAGCTTACGAACAGGCTTACAATCTGTTACTGGTCTTCTCAGAACTGGAAATGACTGTCAACATGCTCATCCAGATCGACAAGCTGGTGCAACTGCTGGAGTCACCCGTCTTTACCTACCTTCGAATGCAGCTCTTGGAGCCTGATCGTTACCCCCACCTGTACAAATGCCTGTATGGCTTGCTGATGCTGCTACCACAAAGTAGTGCATTTGCTGCACTCAAGAACAGGTTGAACAGTGTCTCAGCAATAGGATATCTGCACATCCGCGACCGTGTGGGACCAGCTGCCTCAGGAACGTCAAGTTCACTCAGCGGCAACTTCGGCGAGCGAAATCGTCTGAAGAGCCGCGAGGACAGTGGTGGGATCAAATGGAACGACCTGCTGGAGAAGTTCAAAGCCACGCAAGAAAAAGTGAGACGTTCTCAGCAGCGCCAGCTCATCAATCAGCATGGCCTTGATGACGCAGCTCCGGTAAAGGCACCACCGAAGGTGATACAGAAGCCAGAAAATCTCCAACAATCAGTCGCTCGCCAACCCAACCCACCTCCTGTCAGCCATCAACGGAACAAGTCAAGCCTTGGAAACCTGGGCCGCTTCGCCTCTCGCAACGCCACGAAGAACAAGAAATAGGATCTCACATCAGAAGACGACGAATACACACCCCTCATCCGGCGCATCTCGACGAATTTGACTCCCAGGTCGCTATCTGGTGGCATTCTGATGAGTCCCACTGTGGAAGCTCGACCGCAGCAGACTGGCAAAGGGAAGCTTGAGATCGAAGTCAAGATCGATAGCGAGGAAGAGGAGGCTTTGAGGAAAGACAGCACTTTTGATCCCACGCCTGCGATGGGCTTTGATGGAGGTGGAGACGTGGATTGAGCCTGATTGAGGCCTTCTTGAGCACATATCTAGGACTGGGATGGCTCATGGTTGATGCTCGGAAACACAGGTCTGCATGAACCGGGACATAAAATCAGAGCAATTGAGCGGCCCTCTTGATAGAACTGGGAACGAAGAAATTCACGACTGAATACCGACGCGCTTCGCGGTGTGCTTAAGTTTTCTAAGAACAGCCACATCAGGCACGAGAGAGTTGGGAGGCGTGAAAGCCTTTGGACATCACGACATCGATTTGAGTCACCTGTGGCCGTTGAATTTTCTCAGATTCCTGGAAATAAGAGCTAAAAATACTTGCAGTATCTGCAGAATCCCGCTGACCGCGGAGAGTGAACAAAGTGGACATCTGTAAGTTCGGCGAGAACGGAAGCGCTGTCAACTACATGAATGTTCACAACTTTGACATATAATCTAGATATACTACTACTACATGTTTCTTCTACTTCAAGACTCAGGTCATTCCACGAGATAACTCTTCAGGCCGAGATCAAATTTCATCAACCTTCATACCTCGACGGAGCCTTCCTCTTCCTCGTCGGATACCGTGGCTCCGAATCCGCAGCAGGTTGCGAAGATGTCGGGGTCTTCTTTACTTTCTTCTTCCTCTGCTGCTTCGTAGGAGGAGGTGTCTTCTTCACTCGTCCTTCAGTCGTCCGTTCTGCCGCGGGCGCAGCCGCGGGAGAAGGACTTTTACTTTTGCTTTTGCTTCTGCTTCTACTCCTATCCCTCCACCTTCTACCACAAGTCGGACAAGCTCTACTCGCTGGCGTCCTCGTACGACTTCTCGGTCTTGGAGGTAAATGACTTGCTGTAGGGGTATTTGGTAATCTACGAGGTTCTTCGAGACGATTTTCGTAGCGGAGGTTGTCTACGCGTTGGATTCGGCGGTCGCGGTGGCGGGGTGTGGGTCTCCGACGATTTGAGGTTGGAGGTGAAGAGCGGACGAGGGTGTCGAAGGTTTGGGCGAAGGGTGGGGAGGTTGGGCCTTGGATGTCTGAGGCTCGGGGGGTGGAGGGTAT